CTGCAGATATTTGTAAGCATTTCTAAGGTCCCCTCTCAGCCTTCTCTTCTCCAGGCTGAACAAGCCCAGCTCCCTCAGCCTCTCCTCGTAGGGGAGATGTTCCAGTCCCCTCCTCATCCTTGTAGCCCTCCGCTGGACTCTCTCCAGTAGCTCCTCATCTTTCTTGAACTGGGGAGCCCAGCACTGGACACAGCACTGCAGACGGGGCCTCACCAGGGCAGAGCAGAGGGGGAGGAGAACCTCCCTCGACCTGCTGGCCACACTTCTCCTCATGCACCCCAGGATCCCATTGGCCTTCTTGGCAGCCAGGGCACACTGCTGGCTCATGGTCACCCTGTCGTCCCCCAGCACTTGGTGCTGCTCCGCATCCTTGCGCCTCTCCCGTGCGCTCACATGCTGGCTCTGCTCCGGGATGGCCCTGGGGCTGGAGAGGTGGGGGTGCCCGGGGCAGCGGGCTGTGCCGGGAGCTCTGCAGGGTTCGCTGCGGCGTCGCTGCCTGGCCGAAGGGGCTGCAGGCTTCGGACGGAGTGTGGACTCCCGGGTCTGGGACCAGCTTTGATTCGGTGACCTCCTACGCCCTCGCCCGCGTGCTGCCAGCTCCACACTGACTGCTGTGTGCCTGGGTGGGAGGAGTGGGCTGGGGGCTGTCCTGGGGGCTGGGGGCCCCCCTGCCCTGCCCGAGAATCTGAGGGGCTGCAGCCAGGAGCTCTAACTCCTGTCCTGTGCTTGTGCTGCAGACGGAGCCCACACCCTCACCTGCGCCCTGATGCTGCTCAACACAGATCTGCACGGACACGTAAGTCCCTGCTGCCGCCGGCCCCATCCGTCCCCGCGCTGTCTGTCCCCACCGCCCTGAGCCGCGGGTGCGGGACCCTGGGCACCCCGGTGTGCCTGGGATGAGAGGGGAGCAGGGCTGAGCGAGGGAGGGAGCTGGCGGAGGAGCGAGCGGGGCTGTGGAGGGGACGTGATGGGCGGGAGGGCACAGGATGAGGGCAGAAGAGGGAAGCGGACGGGGAGAGAGAGTGGGGATGAGACGCCCAAACTGGCTGCCATGGGAGCGGGAAAAGGAGGCGATTTAAGACGCCCGGAGTCGAGGCGAAGCTGGCAGCTTCCCCACGCCTTCAAGCAGCCTCCCTGAGACCCGGCTGGTCCCTCGCCCCACCACGGAGACGGGAGGGTCTGCTGGACCTGCTCCAGCCAGCGCCGGCACCCCGGCCCACAGGTAACCCCCCCACGTTTCTCTCCCCCTGGCTCCCCCAGAACATTGGGAAGAGAATGTCCTGCTCGGACTTCATTGGCAACTTGGAGGGGCTCAACGGAGGCACTGACTTCCCCAAGGAGCTGCTGAAGGTAAACTCGGTCGCTCTCCCTGGCCACGCGAGCAGCGGGAGCAGAAGTGAGAGCTTTGGGCGGGTTCACGTGGATGGCCGTGTGGGATGCGATGAGTGCGCCCGTCCTCGTGTGGGAGCAGTGGTGGTCCCTCGGCCTGCGGCTTCCCCCCCTCCTTGCTGAGGGGGGCATGGGCTGCCCGGTTCCCCAGGAGGGCACCGGAGCTGCGGCCGGGGTCCTGATGCTCTCGCTGCTCCTCTGCGCAGGTGGTTAAAGCCCCGGAGCTGGGACCTCACCGCGCTGGTGTGAGCGAGGGGCTCCTGCCTTCTCCCTGCCTGTCCCCGTTCCCAGCGGGGCTTGGTCGGGGACGGCAGGGTTCAGCGAGCCCCTCCGGCCTCAGGCTGCTGCGCTTCTCCAGCATCGCCGGTTCCCAGGAGGGTTCCCTGAGCTGCCATCCCCCCATCTCGGGCCCTGGGAATGGGATTAGCTCCCACGGGACCTGCTGGGCAGAAAGCTGTTGGTGCAGCGCTGCACTCGGCAAAGGCTCGTGGCGGAAGATGGGTTCCCACAGGGCGCCGGAACCACGACGGGGGGAGGTGGTTGGCGAAAAAAGGCAGCAGAGGGTGAAAAGCTGAGCTCCCTTTTCAGCCTCTGTGGGTCTATTCCTGGCTGCGTCGCTCACCCCATCATTAAGGGGTTACCAGCAGTTCTCAACAGGGCTGTCCTCCCTCTCAGCCCACGCTTCGCCGCTAAAAGGAGTTACTTAGGAAAAATTCTCCTCTAATTTTAAACCTGGCACCAGAAAAGGCTTTAAGCACCTGAAATGAATGGAAACCTCCAAAATGAGGACCCTGAACCCCTGCCCTCCAGCGCTGCAGCATCGGAGCTCTGCGAGCTCCTCGGCATGCCCCCTTTGCCGCCGCCGGTGCCCCGCCGCTGGGGACCCCTGCTTCAGGCCCCGCCCCCTC